TTAATAATTCTTATGTTTTGGAAAAACATTGCTCATTATACCCCTGCCCTTATCCTCTGTTTATTTATTTTTTATTTTTTGATTTGTTGCAGGGTGTGCCAATGGAAGCACAACCATCAAAGCTTGTTGGCAGCATAGGTTCAAAAAACCGATATTTCGACTTTGACAAACTGGCTGAGGTTTGATTTGTTTATTTTTTCTATCATTAGCCTTCATTATTTTTTATTTTTGAAAACATTAAATACGTCAGTTATTGTATCATGGTTTCAATGTTCAATTCTGTTTTACTTGTTCTTTGCAGGTTACGGCAATTGTAACCACAAACCTTAATAAGATAATTGATGTCAATTACTACCCTATTGAAACTGCGGAAAGGTCTAATTTACGACACAGGCCGGTAGGAATTGGGGTGCAGGGTCTTGCAGACACTTTCATTTTGCTGGGCATGGCATTTGATTCTCTGGAGGTAGAGCTGCTATGCTATTTGGTGTACATTTCCATAAATATAGGTGAACTGATTTGGTCTAATCGCATCTAGTTTCAACTGCAGGCACAACAGTTGAACAAGGACATATTTGAGACCATATACTACCATGCTTTAAAAGCTTCATCTGAATTAGCTGCGAAAGAAGGTCCATACGAGACCTATGTTGGCAGTCCCATGAGCAAGGTGCATTCTTAAAGTAGCTGACCAAAAGTATATATTTCACCATATTTTTCTTGATGTCTCGTCAGTCAAGTCAGGGATGGCAATCATACTCCTCAAATTAAATATAGCAAAACTGGACAGTTTACTAATATTTTATCTCCCGTAGATTGTTCTGGGTTATTAATGTCTGATCATGTTTGTTTTGCATCTTACAGGGAATTACCCAACCGGACATGTGGGGAGTAAATCCTTCAGATAGGTGGGATTGGAATGCTCTTCGGGCAATGATAGCAACAAATGGAGTGAGAAATTCACTTCTTATAGCACCCATGCCCACTGCTTCAACCAGCCAGATTCTTGGGAATAATGAATGCTTTGAGCCATATACATCAAATATCTACAGCCGCAGAGTTCTAAGGTTTAACTTATATTTAATTGGCTCCATTTGGTTTTGGATTTTGCTGACCATAATCTGATTTTTACATGCTGAAATTCTCTGCAGTGGTGAGTTTGTTGTGGTGAACAAACATCTTCTTCACGATTTGACTGAGATGGGGCTTTGGTCTCCCACTCTTAAGAACAAGATAATATACGAGGATGGTTCTATTCAGAAAATTCCTGAGATTCCTGAAGAGCTTAAAGTTATTTACAAGTACTGGCTTACAGTTAATCTGACGTCTTCATTCTATCATCTTGCTGATTTTCCTATGCTAATTTATCTGACTCTATCAGGACTGTTTGGGAGATCAAACAACGAGTATTGGTTGATATGGCTGTTGATCGAGGATGCTACATAGACCAGAGCCAAAGCCTTAATATCCACATGGACCAACCAAATTTTGGAAAGCTTACTTCCCTGCACTTCCATACCTGGTCTAGGGTATGCTTGTTTATGATATATGCTTGATTTTTATG